AGAGTAACATGCCATGTTCTAGGAATAGGCACACGGTCGAATGTGTGAATGATCCATTATATCCACCAATGTCCATATTCAATCAACCAGGCCGATGTTCTAAGGATGTTAGAAAGAGAAGTTTGAGTGATATGGAGTACAAGTCAGCTACACTTCATGTGTTGCTAAATTGTCCCGAAGTTGTACCATTTCTCAAGTAAGTATTGACTTATTAGTTATCAAAATTTAAAATCTACTGTGATTACATCTTGATGCAACTACTAAAAATATTTGATGTGTCACAGTCACTTCGTGGGTCAATTTGGCCATGATGCTGTATATACGAGATTTGATACGTGGTTCAAATAATTTGTAAGTTTATCCTGATAATGTTCTAACACTATGTAGGTTAATAATGTTTGTAAGTTATGCTAATTTATGAATTTTTTAGCACTATGTAGGTAAATGATCCAAATAATTGTGTAAATCAATTTTTGATAGATATATCTTGGGACCTGGGCTTCAGGTCACAACAATGTCTAAGTACGTAGTGAATGGTTATAAGTTTCATACAGAAGATTGCTCTAAAAATAAAAATAGCAACAACAGCGGGGTGTGGGTTCAAGGTGGTAATGGCAATCAAGTTAGAGATATTGATTATTATGGTGTGCTCAATGAAATAATAGAACTATAATATACATGTTGGCCACATAAGAAATTGATACTCTTTAGATGCAAGTGGTTTGACCCAAATTCAATAAGAGGTACAAGAGTACACAACCAATACAACATAATTGAGGTTAAGCATACGAGGGAGTATGATCGCTATGATCCTTTCATAGTTACACATAATGTTAGGCAAGTGTATTATGCTCCTTATCCATTGCGGCAGAATAAGTCCGATTGGTAGCTTGTAATAAAAACTAAGCCCGTAGGTAGGGTGGAAGTCGAGAATGTGTTATATCAAAACGATATCTCCAATATTCACCAAATAGTGGACGATCAGTTAGAAAATGATTTGGAATATCCTGAACGGATATTGGAAGAAGTTGATATAAATGAAGTAACAATTATAGAAAATGAGGACGAAGAATCAACTGATGAAGCTAAAATAAGAGAGGACGAAGAATTCTCGGACGAGGAACAATACGTTGATGAGCTTTAAAAAGTTGTTTTTTAAAGCACTCACATTTTATAGCTAGTTTCTTATATGTTTCAATCTAAATATGTATTATATTATGCGTATGGTAGGTAAGGGTCAATGTAACAATGACCCTACTGGTTCTCGGGGTCGAGAAAAGGTTAGGAAGGGAAAGAGGAGGCTAGATAATAATACTCCCTCTTTTCCATCCTCTACAGAGATGCCTATGTCTTATCCTCCACCCCACGACTATACTGAGCTGCCACAACATCACGAGCCCTACACCTTCATCCAGACACTAGGTCTTTCATCACAGGGCCATATGACTATATGTCCGACATACAGTCCAGCTACCTCACGACCACATGGATCGCAGTCATCTGCACCGCATCCATCTATATCACATCCCTACATATCACAGCCACATGGATCACATCCATCCATGTCACAGCCACTCGGGTCACAGCCATCAGTATTACAACCACTTGGGGTCCATCCAAATATGTCGCAGTCACAAGGATCATAACTATCTTCATCAACGACTCCATCTATTTCAGGCCTTCGCTTGCGAGGTAGTAGCTTTGACCCCCTATACTGTCCACACATGCCTCTAATATACATGCTTCGGATGATGATGATGATGATGGTGACGAGGAAGTGCATTATGATCAATATCGCAGGATCATCATAGTTCCTGAGTATGATCGGTAAGAGTTATTTGTTATTTTTGCGTTTATTGTTTTGTAATAATTTTACTAAGATATTAATGTGTTTTTATTATTAAATTGCAGGTTCATCCTGAATAATAAGACTACGAGGATAATCACCAAAGCCATCAGAAGCTTTATGATGACCCTTATGTGACTTGGACTGATTTCCCATTCTCGCTGAAGGAGCAAATTTTCAATCAATTTATGGTATAAATGTTCTTTTAAGCAGTTTAATAATTTATATTTATGATATTTCCATATTATAATTAACTTTTAAAATATAGAGCAAGTGTGTATGGGAACACCGCTATAGCGCGGAAGTGACTGCAAATTTTCATCTTAAAGCTCACAAGCGATTGTCGGATGCTTTCTCCGATGCTAGAAAGAAGAACAAGAAGCCTGACTGGTTATTTCAAAATTTATGGGATGATTTGCAAAGGCAATGGCTTACCGCAAAGTTCTTAGATAAGAGTGAAAAAGGAAAAAAAGCTCGTGCATCTGAGAAGGGAGGCTCCTTGCACACTGGACGTGCGATCAACTAGGGACAATAAAAAGAAGATTGGTACGTAATTGCTTAAATTGTTTTAATTTTCAAAGTATACCTATTCTGTTTATTAACTAAATTAATTTTTTTCAGGAAAAGAAGTTGGGGAGTCCAATGAACCATGATGAGCTATTCAAGGAGACGCATATTATAAAGAAGAAGAAAGAGTCGGATCAAGAAAGGTGGGTCGAGGACCGGACCTCGACTGTATATGTAAGCTTTCACTTTTCTTTAAGTATTTTATTTTACTTTTATATAAATTTTGAAATACTAATTCAATTTAAATTTTTGTATAGGGTCGCTACCAAACTAACGTAGAGGAATTCATCCGCACTCAGCCAACTGGTGAATCGGGAGAGCCAACCCAACCTTCGAACGAAGATGCTGAAAGAATATGGATGGAGTATGCTGGCGGTCCAAAATGGGGGAAGGTATACGGGCTTCCTACCAAAAAGTTCTGTCGCTATAAATGTGGAATGCAAGGAATAGGGACTTCCTCACAAGGCGAGCAACTTAATGAGGAGAGCCTCTCCGCTATGCGGGAGACTGTGACAAAGCTCACATCCAAGCTAGAAGCGGCCAAAGAAAGAGAAAGGGTTAGAGATACTCAATTCCTTGGCATGCAAGCTCAGATCAGAACTCTCCTATCTACTGGAGCTTTTCCGTTGCCCCGGTCTTGTGAGTCATCGCCAGAGGCTCGACCTGCACGTGATCATTCCTCCCATCGTCCCCGTGATCGTTCCTCTCGTTCTCCCCGTGGTCGTTCTTCCTGTCCTCCACAAGACCCTTCTTGACACCGTCTTTTAGATGAAAGTTCATCAGACGGTGATGATGATATTGTACAAAACACTCATTGACTTATATACTTTGAACTAGACAAATAGAACCCGTTTTGAACTAGTTGTAATAAGTTTTAACTTGGTTTTGGATTATTATGTTCAATTGAACTTTAATTTGTTAGTTTTAATGTATGTATTAATTGTTGTTGATGTTGTTGTTTTATGTTTGCTATTAGGTGTAATGGTATGCTGACAGGTGGTGTAGCTGCCAAAACAGACATTTTATGCCAAATTTATAACTCAGAAAACCGACCAAAGTTGATTGATTTCTGATTAAAAGAAATATTTTTCTGCAAATTACCGACCAAAGTTGGTCGGTAATCAATAAAAATAAACAATAAAGATTTACAATTACCGACTAAAGTTGGTCGGTTAATGAACAAGGAATTCTCAGAATTCAACATTACCGACCAACTTTGGTCGGTATTGTTAATTTTTATTTTTTTAAAAAAATATATATTTTTATTTACCGACCAACTTTGGTCGGTAATGTTTAAATTTAATAATTAATAAAAAATATAATTTAAATACACCGACCAACTTTGGTCGGTAAAGTTAAATTATTAAAATATGTTTTCGGCCAAAGTTGGTTGGTAAATATTTTAAATTCTTCAGATGGTCGTTTTAGTATACCGAGCAATCTTGGTCGGTAATTACCGACCAACTTTGGTCAGTATATTAAAACGACCATCGAAATAGCGACCAAGCGTGTTTGGACGGGTTTTGGTCGGTAATTAACCATAACCAACCAACGTTGGTCGGTTTTTCTGATCAGTATTTACCGGATTTCTAATAGTGAATCATGTCGGTATCACTAGTTTGTAAGCCTTTTTTATAATACTTATATAAGTTAACGATACGCAATATATATCATAGACAAGTTTTACTCTGTGATGATAATACTTTTGACACTAAAGTAGTCACCTTAAGTGGGGAAAGATTGGTCAACTTCAGACAAAAAAAAATAGCTAAATTGCTTAAAATGGGGTAAAAAATAGCACGGTATAATCAGTTTTTAGATTGGTCACTCAAAAATAGTCAACATTTACCAAGTCAATGAAAAATAGCCATTATTTTATTGCAACAGAGACCGGTCCAGCATAATATACTGGAGTTCGGTGCACTTGTGTATGAACTCCAGCATATTATGCTGGATCGATATACTTTGCTGGTTCCAGTATAATATACTGGAGACTGGAGCACATATGCTCCAAACTCCAATATATTATACTGGACAGATATATTTGTTGGAACTCCAGTATATTATGCTGGAGTTCTAGTGTACTTAGGTTGGAACTCCATCATATTATGCTGGAGTTCCAGCATACTTATCCTGGAACTCCAGTATATTATGCTGGAGTTCCAGCATACTTATCCTGGAACTCCAGTATAATATACTTGCGTATTTTTGGGTTTTGAATAGTGTTTTCGCTCAAATTTATCTTTACATGAAAATTAGCTAAATTTCGATTACTTTTGAAACTGGACTATTTTTGAACGACCAGTTATAAATCTGGCTATTTTTGAATTTCTCCCTAAAATGCGCACAGATGCTAAGGAGTACAACTAAAGACTAGGCCCGTCAAAATAGTTGGATCTGTATAAGAACTGGCCTGTAGAATTAGGCCCAAATTGTTCAGACGAATTAGGCCTAAACCTATTTGAGATGGACAACCTTGTAATGGGCCTCATTGAGGAATTGGGCTAATTTTGTCGTTTTCGATACAAAGTGGAAAGGTGTAACGAATTTGTCCATATCCCGTTACGTATTGCTGAGTCAGATTCTAAACCCGAGAACTTGAAAAGCTCCAATCACTTTCCTTCACTGTCTGAAAATTCTCCGCCCTCTTTTTTTCCCCCTCTTTCCCGAGAAAAATTCGCGCATGCACAGTCAGAAATTCAATTCATTCACTTTCTAGGTATTTTTTTCTAACTCGTTTACTTCCATTTTCTGCTGCTTATAGTATTTACAAAATTCTTGGTTTTTGTGATTAATTTTGTCATAAGTTGAGCAAAATCGTGCTATGAATCAGTAATTACAGTTTCTGAGTTTAACTTGATCTGGCTGTTAATATCTTTTTTCTTGAACATTGATTGCGGAATCCTCAAGTTGATAACTTGTCTAGCGGAGCTTTCGAAGTTTCTGTTATTGGATTACTTGTTCAATTAAAATCTGCTTTCTTTGAGGCTCAGTTGACCTAATTTTATAATGTGATAATTAAAGTTGTTAACTTTAGTTAATCTGCTGTATGTACAAATTATTCTTTGAGAAGAGAATGGATTTACTGTGTGATTCAAAACCCTGATGCTATGAATAGCTAGGTATCCAACTGTGTTGACTAAATTACTAGAGGTGTCAATCATGTGTTTTATAGGCAAATGAGTAGCAGAGGTGGTGGAACTACAGATACTCCTTTTCTAAGGAACTACAGGCTTGGTAAAACTCTTGGCCATGGATCCTTCGGTAAAGTTAAAATTGCTGAGCATTTGCAGACTGGGCACAAAGTGGCTATCAAAATCCTTAACCGTCGAAAAATGAAGACTCCCGACATGGAGGAAAAATGTATGAAGCTAGTGCCTGGGGTATCTTTATGTTATCAATAGATGTGGTTTCTGTTTGTTCTTTTTCTTTACACTATGAACATATTTTCGTGAAGTTTAAAACAAGTTTATTTGAATCACGTCTTGGTTTAGTTCATTTGATATTTAGAAGGTCATTCACGGGGCCTCTAAATTTACTCTTTCTTTGTGCAGTGAGAAGAGAAATAAAAATATGTAGATTATTTGTGCATCCACATGTCATACGACTCTACGAAGTAATAGAGACACCATCGGATATATATGTTGTGATGGAGTATGTTAAGTCTGGTGAACTCTTTGATTATATTGTAGAAAAGGGCAGGTTACAGGAAGATGAAGCTCGCCATTTTTTTCAGCAGGTAGAGTTGATTTTTTATCTTGGTCTTTTTATGAATGTAGTTTCTTTTTTCACTGAAATCATAATTGGTTGGTTGTTTCACTGGGGGCAGATTATTGCTGGTGTAGAGTACTGCCATAGGAATAGGGTGGTTCATCGGGACCTTAAGCCTGAGAATCTGCTTTTGGATGCAAGACGCAATGTAAAAATAGCAGATTTTGGCTTGAGCAACATTATGCGAGATGGCCATTTTCTGAAGACAAGTTGTGGAAGTCCAAATTATGCAGCCCCTGAGGTGGAAACATGTACAGTTTTGTTGTTTTTAAGATAACCATTTCTCTTTTTAGCTGGTAGGCTGAAGTCATATCGACAACATTTATTTGCAGGTTGTCTCTGGGAAACTTTATGCTGGTCCCGAGGTAGATGTTTGGAGTTGTGGCGTTATCTTATATGCTCTTCTTTGTGGTACACTTCCTTTTGACGATGAGAATATTCCTAACCTTTTCAAGAAAATAAAGGTACTTCCATTGATATACTTTTCTGTCTGGTTTCCCTAGATTTTCCGTGCTTTTACAGTTGAAGTAGTGGTTCTTTACATGGTTGACAATGTGTCATTCAGAGTGGGCTCTACACCCTTCCAAGTCATCTATCAGCTGGAGCTAGGGATTTGATACCAAGGATGCTAATTGTTGACCCTATGAAGCGGATAACCATGGCTGATATTCGTCAGCACCAGTGGTTCAAAATTCATCTTCCTCGGTATTTGGCCGTCCCTCCACCTGATGCTATGCAACATCTCAAAAAGGTAAATATGACATTACTTTGGTAAAAACAAAGGTTATCTTGTATGTTGCTGAAAGGGTTCCAATTGATTTTACCCCTTTTTTGTCGACTGCTGCCTCAAATCCAACTTAATACGCTGCTGCATATCCAGTAACTTATACTGGACACTGGTTTTTGTGGTTTCTCCACTTGTTACTCCTGTATTAATTCAAGTGGTAACATAAAAGAATCATCAAGTATAATTTATATCAAAATACTGTTATCAATCTTCACTTCCTTTTACGACATTAGGGAGAACTTATGTATCTTGCTGCCATTTCAGAGGATTTTGTTTGACTGGAGATGTCAAAAGCTTATCAAATCTATCCTATATATCTCGTTCCTCATGCATATTATTATTTGTTTGTTAAATACTTGAGGTATGCAATTCTTTCTCTTTACCCATTCCCCTGATACTATAAGCTGTCTTGCTTGCAACTCTGCAGCTTGACGAGGAAATTCTCCAGCAAGTAATGAGGATGGGGTTTGATAGAGACCAGTTGCTCGAATCTTTGCAAAAGAGAATACAAGACGATGTACGTTGCTTCTTACATCATTACCTCTGACTCTGTCTCTTGGCATCACTACTTTTTTCTTCCTGTAGTTTTTCTCCACTGCATATGCTTACTAAGGGGTATTGGAAAAGGAAAAAAAATCTAGCAATTGTAGATATACTTGAATATACATTTCTACCTAGAAATTGAGGCTTTTCAATGTTGCTTATCCT